GGAATGGGTCTCAGATGAGGTACAGCAGGAAGCCTGCTCATCTCTTCCCAGGAAGATGTGGTGGATAAAGGGCTCCTGTGAGGCAAAGCAGCTGGCTAGAAGGCTGGGCTTGGCCCACAGACCAAACACTGCCTTGGTATATCTTATTCAAAAAACAAAGGAAACTCGTCAGAAGCATCTATATCTGTGTAATTTTGACCATAAAGGTCATTGCAATTTCAATCTGCCACTTTCACACTGGCATACATAGAGCATTACCTCTCCTCCTTCAAACAAATACACTTGATCTGATTCAGAAAATGGATACCTGAACCCTTTTTTAAAACGAAAATTTAAACACAAAAAAAAAAAAAAACCCGAAAAAAATCTTGTCCTCTTCAGCACAAACAAACCCAAAAGAGATATATATGGAATATCAGGATGTTTGTTTTGGAAGAAGACTATCCAAAGCCATTCCTATTAATTAACAGAGTATTCAGACATTTGGAAATCTACTCTGGAAGTAGGGAGGGTCGAATAGCTTAATCAGCCTTTCTTTCTGCCAAACTCCCAGGCCTGCGTGCATGCCTTCTCTGCTGAGCAGCACAACAACAACACAGGTTCAGGAAGGACTTGCAGATCTAGGATGTGCACAGTGCTGCTCTGCTCAGGGTGTGGTAAAAGGTCACAGTGTTTTACAGACACATTTTCAGCATATTTTTCCGAGTGTGAGTGTTCAGTTCTCACACTCTCTTCTTATGCAACTTTCTCTTCATGCCTAGCTGGGAAATTAAAATGAGATGAACGGTGATGAGCTGTTACTTAAGGGACTTATTAAATCAGGATGTTGGGGTTGGAATATTCTCAGGATTTACTGGTGATGCCTACAGTAGTGAATAACATGCATTAATTACCATTCCCTGGTCCTAAAACCCAAGCTGCTCAGTGAGCCTGGCACACACCTTCCCCCCTTGCCCCATGCCATGCTATGCCAGGCTGCACACACAGCTCAGCAGCACAGACAACCTCAGGTGTAGTACCCAAACCCTGCAGACCAAACTAAGCTGACCAGCAGGATGGCAACCTTCAGCCACACAAGAGAAGAGCAGCTGCAACTACTGTGGGACAGCAATTCTGTACCTTGACTCTGCTCAAAGATGAGAAGTGTCACTGGGTTAACACATCATGACAAAATACATTGCCACTCTGGTGTCTGTAATGATCCATACTGTTTTTTCCCAGACATGGAAAAATTCCAGGGACAGGTGGTTTGCTATTTTTATGTAATCAAACCACTGCAGAGACATAAATGATAAGACTGCTGAGGTTGTCTCCCTTCTCAGCCTCAGTTTTTGAGCTTGTGCATCCAATTTTGGACTAGGGCAAATCAGAGGAAAAAAAATACTTGGCAAATGTTGTACCTCAAAACACAGCAATTTCTGGACAAATATATGAGATATATGAAGTGTTCACTGAAAGACAAGATCACTTTTCTGTTCTATAGGAGTAGAAATCCAAGAAGCAATCCCAAAGGAAGAAGATTTTGTCTTTTTCCCAATTAGCTATGAAATCTTGAGGTTTGCAGACCTTTAACAGCTCTCGAAGCACAGCACAATTGAGATTGCATTTCAGCAATCTCAACCACAAGTGTGACATCCTAACCATGCTCAGTTGCAAAGTCGTGCTCACGCTCAGAACTGTCACTGGAAATACTGAAATGCAGTCAGGAATTTATCCTATTCAACACCCTTCCACACAGTCCATCACAGATAAATATGTTCCAGTGGATCCAATTAATCTCCTAAGGGTTGCTTGGCCTTGCTAACAGGATATCTCTTGCCTTTTGCTGCCTTCTTTGGAACCAAAACACACAAACTCAGTGGCTTATGTCTCAGCTTGCATCCTGTTTCAGTAGCCAGGACCAGCTGCGTCTGCAACCAGCCATGTGCTTTCAAACGAGTAGCAACTGCTCCTGAGTGCAGCAAGAAATGTAAGGAAATTCCTGGTCCAAGCTCAAGCAGACTGGGAGAGGAGGAGAAACTGCTTCCCTAGCTGGGCACAGGCAAGTTCTCACAGTGTTTATTGAGAACACAGTATCCAAACCTACCAAACACATTGCTGCATAATTACCATTGTACTTGCACTCCAGTGGAGTACTTGCACTGTGTGGCTACACACAGTCAAATGTCTGCTGACATTTCACCTGTACCTGAAACAGATGAGGACCTTGGAGGAATGGCAGGTTGCTGAATCCTCACTCATGTCACATATAAGGCTTGAGCCTGAATGGGATTTTTGCCTAGAAACACTCTGTGATCTCTAGGTTTGGGTCTTTCATGCAACCATAGTTGTGTATTGACACAAACTGGCTGAGTTTAACTAAACAAATCCCAAAATAAGCACCATCACCACCAAACAAAAAAACCAACCAAACAAAAAATCCCACATAAAAATCAACAACAACAAAAAACCCAAAAAATAGAGGTTTACTCGCTGAAGTTTAGATGCTGTTTGTACATGTTTCAGAAGGAGCAAGCAGTGTTTAGGCTTGGCCAGCTGAGAAAAACTAACTGTGCCTATGGTACATTAGCCCTTGTGTTGCTTTCATATCTTCACATGTGGGCTGAATTTTCAAACCCAGAACTGATCATATAATATTCATGAAATATGCAGGACACTATTTGATTCTAAAAGCTCTTGTTGAAACTTTGTCAAGGTAATTTAAATGGTCTTGCTAAAGTGAAAAAAAAGAGGCCACATGCAGGTTCTATGAGTAATAGATTAGTGGGAATATTTATTTCTAAAACAATTAATTTGAGGCCATTCATATCAGTTTCTGTGGGAAAAGGATGAGGCCAAAACCAACCTCTTACTGCCCTCAGTATTCCACATCTGTTTCCTGTGCAATTGCCAAAACCATTACCAGCATTGTAAATGAACTCGGACATCAAAACTGCTTTTTTTTGTGAATGAAAACTAGGATGAAACCAGAGTCATCTGCTGTTCTTGGAAATATAGAATGCAAGAATCGATCTGATTTCCAAATACTGAACAACTCTGCATTTGAAAGAACTCTATGCACAAAGATCTTGATGGATTCCTTAAGAGTTTTTCCCAAAGGAGAATGGTCTTGCTGGATCTCATATATCAAAGCAGGATCATAATGTAAAAGAGAATTTTAAGGAGCAGTCACTACCTGAATGCATGCTGCAACGGAGATGGGATATACACAGACAAAGTGGGAAACCCTATTTTTTGTGATGGTCTGTGATGAGGTAAGTAGCTGTAGCTGAACAGCATCAAGTTAATCAAGCACGTAGTCTTCAAAACATCCAATAGAAAGACTTGAATTTGTTTCAAAAACATTACACTGTTTTGCTAAAAGGAAGTTGTTTCCCACTTTCTGTTACATGATCTTTGACATGACAGTAAAAAGTGCCATTTGGTTTTGACCACAGCAGAAAAGTTGCATTGTTTTAGAAAAGCCCAATGGGACAGAGAAAAGGTAAAAACAAAGTTAAAAAGAGCCCCTTGCTAGAAGCAGATGGAGTGGACTGAACACCCTTGTGTTCATAGTTTGCTTAGATGTTACTGTCTTCTACTTACAAGAGTACTAAGAACATTAAGCCATACGAAATCAGACTAACCTTAACTGTGGCCCCAGGAAAGAAAAGCCAGTTGCCAGTATCCACAGGATCCAGATTATCTTCTAACACAACTTTTCTGTGAGCAGCATTTATGATCAAAATGTTGTCCAATGCCCAACAGGCTTCATACACATCACCAGCATGAACATAATCCTGTTTCCACTGAAAATGAACGTTCTCCCCTTTAGCATCTTCAGGAAGGTACAAGATGTGGATGATTGTGCTGACGTTGGAAGGGGCACTGAAAAACAATGATATGGAATTAGACCATTTTGAAGCCATAGCCAGGAACACTTTTCCCTCATTTAACACATTTACTAGGTGTGACACAGTTATACTGACATCCCTTGCATGTTGATTAAGCTTCTATGGAGATCAGAAAATACCTGCCCTGAGGCAGAGCCCCACTGTGCCAGGCAGTGCACATCCAGCCCAAACAGGAGGCCCTGCTCCAAAGAAAGTGCAAGTTAAGGCAATAAATAGCAGATCTATGAAGATGTTCTGAGAGCAGGAAGATTGAGCAGGGCCATGTCCATGCTCAATGCTGGTCACATCTCCTAGGTGATTGGGCATCATCAGGTATTTTGCAGGTATGGCCAAAAGGAAATGCTAAGGAGAATCTCCTGACTTCTGGAGCCTCAGACCCTCATAGATCTGGATGAGCAGAATGGTTGGAGGAAAAAATCTAGGAATTTTTTGTGACAAACACGTCCTTCCAAACCCACACCCCTACTGTCAGGATAATTCTGTGGATGGGGAGGGCCTGGTTGTCTCTCTTTCCATGTTCTGCTTCAAGAGCAATACAGAAGAATCAACACATTTGTTCTCTCTCTTGCTGCTGAACATGGAAAACGTGGGGAAGAGAGGCAGATCCGGAGCATTAGCATTAGGCAATGGCTAGTGCCTTGAGCTCTGCTTCACAGAGCTGTCTTCAGAGCTGTGAAAGTATTGAGGTTCACCCCGAGCTCTGGGTGAATGTCTTTGCATTGCTAGTGGCAGTGAAGGGACTGAGCTCTGTGTGCAAAGAAGGGATACTGAAAATTATTATTTTTGGTTATTAATCATCCAGGAAGGGAATTAGCTACGTTCGAATCTCAGGCTAAAAGGAGCTACAAAATTGGGGTTTGCAAGATGTCAGCTACTCAACCTTGCCTCAGCTATTAAGTCTGAATAGTTTGTCAGACACAATCCAGAGCTTTTAGGGAAAAAGAGCACCTATAGCTTGCTTTTATAGCAGAAAATAGAGGATCTCTTTTTAAAGCAAAGCAAAATGTCAGAAAGCAACTGCATTTGTCCCATATTCACACTCCGAATCTGCCCCCACAAATTGCCCTGCACTTACTAAACATTATGTCTGACACCCTCCACTGCAAGGCTGCTCTGAGATGTTGTCCTCACTTCTCCCTGAGCCCACACACAGCACCTGCCTTCCCTGAGAGATCTTTCCCCACCCTCCCAGAAGGAATCCAGAGCTGAAATCCCACTGACACAACACACACCAACACAACACCTTCCCTTCACAGCTGCCCTCCTGTCTCATCTCTCCCCAGTTCTCCCACAGGTCCCTGGAGCTCAGTGTAGTGCAGTGAAAGTCGCTGAAGCACATTCAAATAAACAGTGTAATTCACACGGACCACGGGAGAAATTAACATCCTTCCATAATTCATCCTCTCCACTTCGCACGACATTGCTCTATTGACCTATTTTCTACTGCTGGATCCAGCATCAAAGTTGAGGCAAGAGAGATCAAACTGCATAGACAGTAAATTCAGAAAATTTGGGTTTCAAGGGCTTATGTTTGCATCATCACAACTCTTGAGTTTCCTGATTTGCAGAGCTATGAGAGCAATTGAGCTGATGTCATGGATTAGGTGTGTGATTTTGCATCAATGTAAGAAAAATAAAACATAATCCTTTGTACTTTCATGTAAACAAGTTAAAAGCAAGGAATAATTCACCGTAACCTTGCTATCATAAGTGTTAAGAGTCAAGTGTTTGTATCAAACTATAAACTATTTTTATTGAACTTTTCATCCTGCTAAAGTAGAAATTTGTGCCATGATGAAATATGGCTCTTGCTGACATTAAAAGTGGTGCTAAAATGCAAAAGTCATCAAAGTTTTGGTTTTATAGGCACCTGAACTTGCTGGCTATTGGAGCTGCATTTTAACTTTGAAGTCACTCTCTTTCTCACCTCCACATACTCAGCAAATGAAATTGAAAGAGGTGCCTGGATGTGGTGCTGGAGGATATGGTTTAGGGTTTAGGGGTTCCAGCAGTGGCAGGTTAATGGTTGGACTTGTTGACCTTAGAGGTCTCCTCCAACCTTGATGGTTCTCTGATTCTAAATTGTGATTTACCAAACCTGGTGGCAGATCTGCAATTAGCAAGGAATTTCACCCCTGGTCTTTTCACGTGTATGAACAAGTGAGAACTGAGAAGTTAACAAATAAAACAAGTTTTAAAAGAGCCAGGTTTAAACACCACCTGCTCAGCTGGAAAGCATGAAAATGATTAAAAAGCTGTAACAAACCTAATTTTCTCCAGCTGAGTCCAATCTGCAGAACTGTTCTTACTGTAGGACACAGTGATGCTGGGATCGGAGTAACTAAAGCGACACGAACCCGATCCTGGGAAAAAGCAATAAAATGAGACACAATGTTACGACACAATGAAGCAATAAATGATTCTCCAATAACCACAGCTGCTGACTGTGCCTTTGTCACATCATCTCTTCTCCCAGGTTTAAAGCACTTTGATTGATGATGAAATTTCCTGTGTTCTGTTGCTGAAGGTAAACACAAAATAATGCATGCTTTATGAGTCAGAAATAAAGTAGAAATGATAAATCACAGCAGTGCCATGTAATCTCTGCAAATTTCCCAGGGGAGGCCAAGTAAATTACTAAACACCCCCAACTGCAGGAAAAAAACCCCACCATATAATGTTTAAACAAAACCTACTTATCAGAGAATAATCCACATAGCAGAATTCAGAGGGAAAACAGTAAAATGCTGGGGTTTGTATTATGGTATAAAAAATGTTCAGAAATAAAAATACAGCCAGTGAGAGGAAAATACACACAGAATTACTGGAGCCGAGAGCAAATGTGCTTTAGGAATTTGAAAGCATAAAGATGTTAGAAAAATTAGTTATTTTAAGGTTGCCTGAAGAGAATTAAATTAAGAAATAATCCAATAGACTCCCTAGACCCTATAATTAATAACAAACATTTGATGCTGATCTGGGAATCTCAGCACACTTTACAAAAATGAACTAATTAAGCCTTATGGCACCCCTGCAAGGTAGGGTAATATATTTACTTTTGATTTATAAAAGGCTGCCTTCTGGGTGTTGTCACCAAAGATGAGCTTAACAATTAATACATGGGACAGTCAAAAGAACACAAAACCAGGACAGAAATTCAGCCTAGAAAACATGACAAACAACCCGAGTGCTAATTAAATACACTAAAAATACTATTTTCCCTCAGACACCACATCATTCATCCATCTCAGAAGATTCAGTGCCCAGTGAAACAGACAGATCCTAACCTGTGCTCCAAAGATCAAACTTTCTACTTCATAAACATGTTGAAATGTGAGACTCAAAGCAGCAGATATTAGCTACCTTCCACGTTTAAGAGAAGCAGGTCTCAATTAAACAGCACCTCTGATGACATCAGGATACAACTGAGTGACTAGCACAGCTCTGCTCACAGTATGTTTTATATGTGCTCCAAGCAGTGTGTTGTTTATGTGTGTCGCAGAGACATTCAACCACACTGGAAGCTACGAATACACATATTTTAATACATGTATAAACGTATACATACACTACTGACCATAAAATACTATCATTTTCCAACCCGGGGTGCTTATTTTGGTAATGAAATAAATGGCCTGATTAAAAAGGTGTTAACCACTTGTACAAGAGAACAGCTTCCACATTTTAATGGGAACATATGTCATTAAGCACACTGCTTGCAGCCCCAGCTCCCCTGAGGCAGTTCACATTTGCAGCTCTCAGCTCTACAGAACTGCTTTTCTGCTCTGAGACACACATCACATACCTCTGCAGGGGGAAAACCACTCCAAAACATGGGCTGAAATCCTGTCTCTGTAATTTTGCCTGATATATCAACTAGCATCCCTGGAAACCATCCACAAAGTTGCTTTCCTGTATCTTTTACTAATGTTAAATTGCAAATAGAGGAACAGCTACTTCTGAGCCACTACAGCTGTGTGTGGTACGTTCAGCTGGTCTGACACAAATTCTTGCTGTAAAGAGGCACAGAATAATTAATATTGCAAAGGCAGCAGGACTTTGAATTACCATCCATGTATCCAAAATGACTACAAAGCAACTGTCTGGTTATATTTTACTGACAAGGCATTTTATTTCTATCATATTAAAACCAAAATGATGTCAGGAAAAGCCTTTGCATTTCATATTTGCCCATCTGCTGAGATGGTCTACTTTACTGAGTGACATCTGCTGTCGGTTCCTACTTCTGTGGAATTTAGGAGATCCAGCCCTTAGTCAACACTCGTTCAATTCATTTCAGAGAAATTCAGTTCAAAAATCAGTGAACTTCAGCCAGTTTAGCCACTTTGGCCAGAGGCTGTGAGGTAAAGCAGCAACATACTGAGTTTTCTGTTCGACAGAAATTAAAAGGAGCATAAACAGTAAAAATAACCAGCAATACAGAATTTATAACGTGCCATTCCAGTTAGTGTTGCAATCAACTTTTGGTACAGTGCTCTTAAACAAAGCTAAGTCCAAATATGCTGCTTAAGAAGGAGAGAAGGCCAGATCTGCTGCACAATCAGTATGAAAAATGTTGTCTGTTAGATCTGAACGCCCTCAAACTACGCAATGAGGAACAAAGTTATTCCTTAAAAGAAATGGGGCCACTCAGAAAGGGCTTTGAAAGGTAGAAGAGGTATTTCACTTGTGATATTGGAAAAAGAGCAATGACAAGAGGGGAGACAAATGCTGGGGTTTATTATTTTAATATGCAGGGCAGGTTGTGTTAAGGTTGACATTACTTTGGGAAAGTCCTCAAGGTCAATGTATGTGTAGCAATTATTGGCTGTGATGACAAATGTGTCTTTATCAGTGTTTAAACTCTCTTTTTGTATGTTCTTGACATCAAATTATAAAACAGCAAGATTATTTTTGGTGGAATTCTAATTCTGCAAAACTCAAGCTGACAAAAAAAGAGATCAATACATTTGGAACAAACTAATCAACACTGTTCAGGTTTTGCTATTTGAACTATATATTTTAGCTATACAAGAAGCACACAGATCTTGCACCTCTTATAAAACTAATATAGATCCTAGTTTATACTAAGTATTTATTTCCAAGAAAAGGGAGGAAAGTGAACATGCAGCTGCACTACAGGGCAGGGTTTACTGAGCCTTGCAAGCCACTGGCTTTCAACATCATTTTCAATACAACTTTCAATAATACTATGACTTAATATTATTGTTATTACTCCATATTGCTGTTTTTTCAGTAATCCTAAACTAGGATTATTTAAAATAGAAATCTGCTTTTTGGATGTTTGCCTCTACCTAAACCAGCAAAGCTATACCCTGACTTTGCAAACAAATA